AACAAACAAAACAAAACGAAACAAAACAAACAAACAAAACAAACAAACAAAACAAACAAACAAAACAAACAAACAAACAAACAAACAAACAAACAAACAAACAAACAAACAAACAACAACAACAAACAAACAAACAAACAAACAAACAAACAAACAAACAAACAAACAAACAAACAAAACAAACAAACAAACAAACAAACAAACAAACAAACAAACAAACAAAGACAAACAAACAAACAAACAAACAAACAAACAAAACAAAACAAAGACAAAACAAAACAAAGACAAAACAAAACAAAACAAAACAAAGCAAAACAAAACAAAACAGTCCTCGCTAGTTGTCAACGACCGTTCTGAAATAAAAAACTGACTTCTATCAAGTGGACAACCATAGAAGACATTTGATTGGCCAACTGGTTTTCGGCCTATCCGACCATATAATGCGTGTTCATGACCCAGTATACCACCTCTATAATACATTGGTATACAAACCTATCATAACTAAGATTCTTCTTTTCCATATCCAACTCTACGAACTTGCTTTTACCTGTGCTAGACATCGTGATAGTTATACGTGTAATAGGATGTATGTGTATACAACTGTGATATTCATAAATAATATTCTGTACGTACTTGTAATGTGATATTTTCACCGGGAAACGTGTGTCTCTTTAGATTGGTTTTATATGTTATTCAGTCCTTCAATACCAATAGGGATATACTGTCAGCGGTAGAGCCAATGTGTGAGCCGCTAATAGTACTGACCAATGAGAATATGAAAGTTGACATCTATCGAAAAGGACAACTAAAAAGTTGACAACTAGCGAGGACCCACCGTATGTACTATTGACGTTTCATTTATACTTAGATCAGCCGCTTTTAAAAAAGCCTTGCAAAAGGCTATAGCCTTCTAAAAACAAACAGCCTTGCCCAGTATTTTTTTAAGACAAACAAATCACAATGCCCAATGGTTACATAATTATTATCTCTTTTTTGTTTTTTATTAAGAAAACAAATACTATTATTTCATAGCCCTCTAAATTATACAATCATTTGATCTATTTATAGCTTTCAGAGTTTCGGTTGGTTTGAAGTTTTTATTTTGAAAAAAAATAAAGGTACTGCATCGACTATAAATACAGTATTTACATATGTAAATACATATGTACTGTACAGTGTACACTGTATTTACATACAGTGCAAATACCTTTTCGCTTTTTATATAGATCTAAATATCACAGAAGGCAAATCTTTATATTTTATATTTTATGTAGCTGTTATTTTGTTTTTGGTAAAAGAAACAACAAAGCAAAATAACATTTCAAATATAATTTTGTTCAGGAAATCCTGGACCCTGCAGTTCTGCACTCTGCCGCTCTGCCTCACTGTTGCTCTGAGCCTCTGAGGCCTGAGCCTCCGCCGGTCTGACCTCTCTGGAAAATGAAATGTCGTGGAACCCCGAATCTCGGATTCTGGATGAAAATTTATGGATTCTCCCGCGAGACGCGAAACGCGATTGCCCACTGCCCATGGCGGCAGGCCCCAGGCCCCAGGTCCCAGAGTATAAATAGTAGTATTTATTTATTTATTTAGAGCCTGTCGAGGCGGAGACCTTTTTTATATAGAAAACATAAAAGTTTAAAAAAAGATCCGTCCGGCTTCCAAAATCCAAACTTCCAGTGTTTTTGTTTTTGTTAAAAAAATAATATAGACCTGTCCAGGACATTTTGATGCACATTGCTGATTGTGATTTCTGACAGTGCGAGACAATTCCAAAGGGCCATAAAATGTTCTATTTAGGAGGCTATGAAAAAATCATTAAAAAAAATGTTTTCCGACGCACTGACGCACCCGACAACGCAGGCGACAAAAATATGTATCTGTTTTCGAACGAACCAAAAGAACTCAACTAGAGCGCTGATATGTTCAATAATGCCAGAGTATATATGCCCTAGAAAGCCGCAATTGAGTTTTTTTTTGGAAAGAAGAAGTCATGTGACTATAAAGCGGACGCGCAGAATCTTCATGAAATCATATTAAAGCATTGAAGTAGTATGCGATTCGATATCAAGCGGAGATCACAGGCTGCCTCGTTGGCCGGCATTCTTTTTAGCATTCTTGTAATATGTATTTTATTTGACGTACGCGCAATGAAGCTGGATGAATTGCTATTCCAGAGGACGAATAAGCACAACATGTCATTGCCGCCTTTCAGTGAAAATAAGAACTTGGTAGTTGTAGCTGGCGCTAGGCCGCAGTATTTTGAAGTTGTCCTTGCCAACGTACAAAATCATTTTAGCGAGAAATGGGACTGTCTCGTATACCTGTACGAGGATGATATACCACAAGAGTTTTTGAATCCGCTCGAAGAAGTCTGCTTTGTCCACTTACTACCGAACAGGGAATGGGGTGACTATTTGTACTTAATATCACCCCCATTTTCTGATAAATACAACCATATCGCGATCATGTTGGACGATGTGTACATGCCCGCTACCGGCAAAAGGCGAGTCGATATCCCTGAAATGCTGTATCGTATGGAAAGGCATGAGATAAGCGTCCTGGGGCCTGCCATAGCGGGTGCCCATCGACTAACAAACCAACCTAGTTCCGAAGAGTGTATGTACGAAGTGAACGATATCGAAGTGTTCATGTCGATATATAGCAAGGCTGCTTGGAGATGTGCCTGGAGTTTTATGGAGTATTGGAACCACAGTGGATGGTGTTTGGACATTTGCTACGCATCACTGTGTCCAGCATTCAAGCAAGCGATCGATCACACAATGGTGGCTTATCATTTGCCCGGACAAAAACCTGAGAAGGATACTACAGAGTACGATACATCAAGTATAAAGCGCCTGGGAGGGCGTACATTGCATGACATAGTGGGTCTGACCGACGCTACGCCCACGTATAACGGGGAAAAGACACTGTGTGAACTAAATAAGTGTAAAATGGAAAAGCCACAGATGGAAAAGTTATACTGTGGTAATAATGTCGCAGCGGATAAGCCAGTTAAGGTGCGGGCGAAAGACCGCGGTATCACAGATATTACATAATCCGATAGCACGCCTTTTATCGTTCTTCATTTCCAATTCAAGCATATAAAATACTTTACAATCGTACCGATAAAAAGTCACGAGTAAACACAATGAGTGCTGCATGACCACACAATGCGACATACAGTATATTTCTAGGCTCCGTTATAACTTTAAAACCTTCTTGCAATGAAAACCGTACACACAGTACTTCCCCCGACAACCCCCCCCTGACCCCCTCCGCCCCCCTCCCCACCAAGAGCCAAAACTAAATATACGATAAATAAAATTCACGGTCCCGAACTTTCAAGTTTTGTATTCATTTTGATCGCAATCAGCTGCTGTCATCAAAATTCAAAACTCATGGGTCAAAGACTCCCGTAAGGCATAAAATATACGTTTTACGTTATAACGTATAAACTTGGCCTCGCCCGCCCTATGGTTGACTGATTGTTCTCCTTGACCCGTAATATATACACGACACCAAACAGTCGTTGTAACGGTGATGCGACGAACTAGCGCTAGCGACATTCAACCATGTTGGGATACAAGCTGACACATTGTTCCGAGGTCTTGCGTGCATGGTGTATACTTTTATGGATAGGTATCTCCATACCTCTCACCACAGGAAACCTACATGCTGGTATAGTCACCGAAGCCTTCGTCGGTGCAGAAGAGTACAATGAACAGCTGACGATCAAGCCATTGCACAACAATGACCTTCTGCTAAATTTCCAGTACACCTTCGAGAGACCCCTCATTGTCGCACCCCGTACGTAAACAGATCAGCTTGGTTGTGTTCTTCCATGAAGTGTATTCTGCTGGGATCTTTGCTTGACTGTGTTGATACCGGGTGTGCGAATTACTTGTGTTTGCGTGTTTGTGCCATGTGGGTCAAATGTTGAATGTTCTCCTAGTCTGTGTATTTTATGTCGTGTACAAATTATTTCTGACGCTCATATAAGCACCATCGACCTTATATCTGTACTCAATGTGACGTACACAGGCACTTAACGCCTCATGTTTATAATATTCGCAGTCTGGCGTAGATGGTCTGTACTTGCGTTGATGTTGTGATGTGGGGTTGAATAACCCGGGACACCGCTATCAGCTATAGAATACAATTATTGCACAAGCTGCATATATCAAGACTCCATGCACAAGAGTATGCTCACGTATTCAGTTGCGACTAGACCTATTCAATGTTAAGAATATCATTCAATTAGTCACAGCATGATTAAGTTCGGATTGACTTGTTTGAGAGTCTTCCATATTTAGCGGCCTCGTTTGCAGTTGCTAACACAGTTTCAGCATGGGGTGTGCATGTGCGTTTGCATGTCTTGCCGAACTTGCCTACGCGCCAGCGCTTTAAACAATAAATACTGATATCACATTACCGCCACTACGTTAGTGCACACCACGCAAGACGACACACTAGGGATACATTTATATCAAGTTTAAATCAGTCATTGTGAGTGTTATCTGGTGAGCAGACTTTTGGTATACTCTACTATCAGACTATGATCTACGGGATTATAAACCTGTCAGCAAATCGTTATTTGTTATCGAGTACGTTACCCTGATTTGCATTTGCATATGTTTGTATCTTTCATATGCACATCATATATATATATATATATACTGTATATAAATTACACTTCTATACATATATGTATGTATGTATATTGTATATATATATATATATATGTATGTATACATGCATGCACATATATATATATACAAACATATATATATATATATATATATATATATATATATATATTTATATATATATATGTGTATGTATATATATATGCATATATAGTACTATATATATATATATATATATATACACACACACACACATATATATATATATATATATATATATATATTAGTATCATTTCTATAGTCTGATCCTCAGATGTATCAATATTTACCCAATTGTGACCCTCTCATGCCCTGCATATCTTGGCTGTACTACACAAGCCAAGGCCAATCGGCTCAGAGCGCACCAAGATACGCAATTCCCAACAGTATAAGTATGACTCCAAATATTTATTCTTAATTATTTATCTTACCGGAGAGGAGTCCTGAAACATGGAGTGAGGATATGTTTAGCGAGTGAAATGGGCAACTGGCTGATATTTAAGCAAGAGCCTCACCCTCAGCAAAGTACTACGGGGACGCACCGGCGGTGTACTTTCATGCAATCACATAGACATATGCGAATACAAAACCCTAAAACGCTGAAAAACGTAAAACATTATAAACCCACAACTTCAGAGTTATCTGCTCACAAATCCCAGCATTCTGTATCACAGGGATATTAGGGAGCTACATTCTTATACAATGTATATACGCGGGTGCACAATCGCATATGGACCACAGACGTATATGTGCAATCGTACATGAACCACATATACTTAAGTGTAATATGTGTACGAATCACGTATATATTTTTTTGCAATCGTATATAAACCACAGTATCAGCGCCAATATTGAGACTATTGTGCTCCTTTGTGCTATTGTAAAGTGACTAACGGACGTTGTCCACACACCAACAACCACTTCGTACATCCCTTCTCAGTGTTTCTTCGTGGGCGCAACCGATCTGTTCGGAAGTAGCGCTGTGAGTGAATTGAGTGTCTTTCAGTACAATCGCCATAAACGACACAACTCGTAAGTGAAGTGTTATCCACAAACACAAACACACAAACCCACATGTGCACACTTTTCCGCCATCCCTCACTCGGTACATACCTCTCTACCGCCGCTTACAGAGACGCACTTCTCCGTGTTCCCTCGTGGTGTTGCTGAACTCTTAGATAGCACTGGTGTGACAGAGTTGAGTGTCTCTTTGACTCAGGGTCGTTGGCACCAAGAGAGATGGGGCCTGCCTATTACCTCCACACCCACGGGCGCAGAGGTTTGGGGAAGATTCGAGGGGAGTAATATGACAGAGTGAGTGACGGCTTGTTTGCCGCATTATCGGTGTTTTAGGGATTGCATCTCTCAAATTAATGTATAGTGTGTACAGACATTCAATATCGGGTTCATACAAATAAGAGGCACACGGATACATTTGTAATAAGTACACAGATGTATGGCTGCATGCAGTAGTGTAATAGTGTGTTTTCTTAGTCGCTTCGTGTCGCACGACTAAACATGTGTACTTTCAGGCGTATTCAACATGTATATACCTTCGTTTTGTGGTGCGTGGTTATCAGGGTCATACCGGAGGGACATGTGTATATCATAGACTGATACAGATGGAATTTATTCGATCGCTTTAGATATCTACATACATAAACCAACATGTGTGTGGCCATGTATGATATGACAATATATACGGGTATTTTGTGCACTGAACCCTTCAGCTTTCCTCACAGGGCGGAGACAGACGAGTCATGGCAGTCTGTTACCCAAGGCCTGGCTGGACTTCTGTGCGCATCACTTAATTTCATTCAACCGGAGAACACGGGCAAACCCGTTATGTTGTTTGGTGCTGAGGGTATGGGAGAAAATACCATAGTGTATAGATAGGAATACTTTGTGATGTATTTAAATTGTATTGTGTTCATATGTACAGGTGTTTGTGTGTATATCTTGAGATTAGACATCATCGCCCACGTCAAATGTATATTTGTACGCAGCTCTGCAGTACGTGATAGATTAAGATATGTATATGTAGGTGTGCATATGAACTCACTCATACATAGGCCTTCGAATATATAAACAAACTACGTCAATTCACATCCAGGTTCCGATGGGCGCCTTGGCGCAGGGTCACCTTATCGTTACGCTACTCTTTCTCGCGAGAATGTGTGCACTGAAAACCTAACCCCGCTCGTGAAACTTCTACCATGCCGGGCTAAGGTATGTGTTTCGTAACTCGAGTCTTACTTACTCGAAGCACAGGCAGTGATTGACATATACCGTGTTTATAACGTGATTTAATTTGCTCAGTATTTCAAATACATGCACGTATCTGCAAGGAAAATATACACCCAGCTCGTTGCCACCCTCGCCATACGCAGTGTTGTGATAACCTCTCGTTGTGCAAACTTTAAACTTAGTGATCGATACGCACAAGCGAGTTGACATACATGTGTTCGCTCCCGTCGTGTCTGGTACTGTGCCCAACTTTTAGATGAGGAAGTTCTGGCTGTATACAAAACTTCATGTCGTTCTTCCATGTGGGATTTTTGCCGTAGCATTCTCGTCAGTACGCCATTGTACGCTCAAAATGCATATGTCGGGAATCTCTGAATATTTTTACAGATACATATTCTAACTAAACAACCCGAAAGTTGTTGCTAGGTGATTATCCATAAATTCAGTATAGCTTTATTTGAACACTTCTGCATTTTCTTCGTTCGTACATATCCTTCGCATCTGGCTCCGCTACAGTAGCCGCATACACATCCGTCCTAATCAACTACGTACACAGCCTCTCCCCAATTCCCCCCCCGACTGCCTGTGTACCGATTAAATCGCGCTATATTCTATAGTCTATATTGTACCCACACTCATACGCCACCCCTCCCTTATCTTACAGGCGAGCCTTTCAAATGCGCTATATTATGATATGCCTACGCTCATTTAAAACCACTCCCTCACCTTACAGGCGGGCCTTTCAAATGAACTAGATTATGATATACCTACACTCATATAAAACCACTCCCTCATCTCACAGGCGGGCGTTTCAAATGCATTATATTATGATATACCTACACTCATATAAGACCACTCTCTCATCCCACAGGCGGGCCTTTCAAATGCACTATATTATGATATACCTATACTCATATAAAACCACTCCCTCATCCCACAGGCGGGCCTTTCAAATGCACTATATTATGATATACCTACACTCATATAAAACCACTCCCTCGCCTCACAGGCAGGAAATGCACCTATATTATGATATGCTTACACTCATATAAAACCACTCTCTCGCCTCACAGGCAGGCCTTTCAAAAGCACTATATTATGATATACCTACACACATATGAACCCACTCCCTCGCCTCACAGGCAGGCCTGGCAAGCATGATGAATGCATACACTGTGTTTGACTCGCTGTTCTCTGCGCTGTCTGTCCACGTGAGCACGGAGTGTGTCGATGACACGTGTGAGTATAAGAAGCAGGTGCTGGTGCTAGCCGTGAATGTGGTGCCCACACGGGTGAATCAGGAGCCGTCGCAACCGCTGCCAAAACAGTATCGTATGTGTTTTAAATAGGTTCTAAAATGTGTATGGTATATATCCTAGAGTGTTTGGAAGGAAAGTGTCGTGGAAGTGCATGGCTGTGTGTGCATGTGCGTATGTTCATGGCCCTACATCAGTCACGCGCGACTGCTCAGTGCTCATATCTGCGACGGCTAGTGACAAGTGCAGCTGCTACAGGTGAGTGTAATACCTCCGATAGTTTATTCGAACCAGTCTCAGCTTGTGCGTATATGATGTAGTATGCACGACGGTATGTGTAAGCCGTATGTGAGGCATATCCAGGAATGAACCTTGGAAGTCTGACTGCATGGAACTATGTGTGCATGTGTTTTTGGTTAGCTGTGTATTCTGTTCTCCAAAGATATGCATCCGCTTATTCGTAATAGCACAAGTACGTACTCATACTGGCAATCCTTTGTTGTTAGAAATTCTCAAACATTTAGTGGAACCCCTGGAGATGTACACATCTGGGGGGATGTGGAGGTAAATATGCAAATGTTGATGCCGAGTCATCCTTTTAGTGCATATGTGTCCGGAAATGTTTAAAAAAAGACAAATATGCTAGCAGATTGGACATCAAACCTCCGCCGCATGGATTGCATTTTAAACTCCGACGGCAGTCGTCTGTTTCCATACGATTGTTTCATCGCACTACGTCATAATTTCACCCTCACAGATTGGAATCTGGGAGATTTACTCAAAGCTGCTCTAAATTCGGCGTGTGCTGTTGCCACGAACTCCGAGGTTAAAATAGTAACCACTGATTGGCTGGGGGTTAAACGAATCACACTCAATAAAGCTCCTTCGCACACGGTTGAACACGGCGTGTATGCTATAGACGTATACCCGGTAGTCTTCGGTGAAGGTAGCAGAATTGTCTAAGTGTACGTATGTGTCTACTTGCTTGTGGATAAGTTGCGTGGGATATATATTTATATATATATACATATATATATAAATACTTATA